TTTTGTAATATTTGCAATGGTATGTGTATGTCCAACGTCACTTTTCCTGTTTAAGTTTCTTGTAAGTTGTAATATTTGCAATGGTATGTGTATTCCAACGTCACTTTTCCTGTTTAAGGTTTCTTCGTAAGTTTGTATATTTGCAATGGTATGTGTATGTCCAACGTCACTTTCCTGTTTAAGTTTCTTGTAAGTTTGTAATATCAATATAGAATGTGTATGTCCAACGTCACTTTTCCTGTTAAGGTTTCTTGTAAGTTTGTAATATTTGCAATGGTATGTGTATGTCCAACGTCACTTTTCCTGTTTAAGGTTCTTGTAAGTTTGTAATATTTGCAATGGTATGTGTATGTCCAACGTCACTTTTCCTGTTTAAGGTTTCTTGTAAGTTTGTAATATTTGCAATGGTATGTGTGTATGTCCAACGTCACTTTCCTGTTTAAGGTTTTCTTGTAAGTTTGTAATATCAGATATAGAATGTGTATGAGTCTTATCTGCTTTGTCTCTAATGTTTCCTAAGACTTGGTATTTGGTTAATATAATGTATATGAGTCTTTTTAGAATATTCGTTTTCAGATCTTGTCACTTCACTTGACATTTATTGTCAACATATGTTTGTCTGCTAGTTCAGGATGAGTATGTTCTTTTGTTGCATAAGCATTGTTAGCTCTTTCTTCTTCTTTTGCTATTGCATCGTCTACATATTCTTTGTCAGCTTTGTTGTCAACATCTGCTTTCAAAAGAAGTTCATTTATAGGTTTCTCGTTTAAAGTTCCTTTTGTTGGATTTATACAGACAGTATTGTTCTTATTGTCTTGAAATAGAAACTCATCTGTTATAGGGTTTAATGTCAGTTTTAAGTCACCCCTTTTCAATGACTCAGATATCTTAGAATAGTTTGAAAAGTTTGTTGTGTTCTTATTTAGAGCTTGCATAATGAGTTGTCGGTTGTGTTATATTTCTCTCATAGACGCTGTTTCATTTGACATTTTTATTATAGATAAAATATGCTTCCAATAGAAAAAGAAAATTCTAGAGTTGCTACAACTAAACCATTAGATGAACTTTTTACTAATGTCGGTCAAAAGTTTGAGACAGATACCGTAAAGCATGAAGGCTATCGTTTTGACTACCCATTAAGATGGTTAAGAGACCCATCTGTCACAAAAGCTATTGGCTTTCGAAGAATAAAGTTTGTGTCTGTAGAAGATAAAAGTTTTCCATTTATTGTAAGGTTTCATATAGATTATACATCTGAAGGGCAACGAAAAATGTGGGAAGAAATTGAGCTAATACAAGTTGACCTCTCATCTTCTCTACAGGCTGCATTAAAAAATATAGAAGATAAAATAAATTCATGTTATGCAAAATATGCTGATGAATATGCGAATACCGATAGCACACTTTATGTGAGAATTGTATATGACAAACAAAATTCACAAGTGTCATTTCAAATCTACGAAGACAATCCAAATAAAGACGAACAAATATATACAGAATTCACTGCAATGTCATGGTATTATTTGCAAAGAATGTTAAATCAGAAAGTTGAACCTCCTTTAGCAAATATCTACAGTCGATATGCAAGAGATGAACCATATTTATTTAAAGATGTTTTCGACCAAGATGCTGTGATAGTTCATGCTTCATTTTCTGGCGCCCAAAACTCTTTCTTATGCTTGGCAAATGACTTTTACGAAAAACCTACAAAGTTATACGAACCACCAAGTGGAAGTATTTCAGACTTTCAAGTATGGTTTACTACAGATGGAAGAAAAAGAATAATTCCATTATACCATGCGTTTTACTTAGAACTTAGTTTCATATACAACTACTATCGAACGGTAAAAATATAATTTTTTAATATACCGGTTGTGGTTGCCAACTTGACTGTGGTGCAGGTTCAGGCTGTTGTATAACAGGAGCTTGTTCTTCTGGTTCAGGGTCTTTAGGTATAATACCAACAAACTGACCTACTCTTTTACCAATATTTTTGACACCGTTCCATACTCCTCTTCCGACAGATTTTATTCCATTCCATATACCTCTTCCAACATTTCGAAAGAAGTTTCCTATCTTACTGAAGAAACCCATTTTACTATATGTAAAAATCTAATGTCCGCCTAGTCTCTTACGTTTCCTGTTGAGTTCCATAGCATTCTTTAACTGGAGCTCATACATTCTGTTTCTCCTCTGGTAGAAAACATATTCTGGGTCAACTCCTGTGTTCGCGTCATCTGCATAAAGTTGTTTATATCCCACTTCAGGGTTTGTATAAAACTCTTTCCATCTCATATTTGCATACCATGGTGGCAAACCTAACGCAGCGTCATTTGACATGGCAGTTTGCATTTGTACATCTGTTGGCACTTGACCATAGTTTGCCATTGCAGTTTGTATTCTAACTTCATTTGGAATATTCTCTGGGTTTGGTTGTCCAGGTTGCTGTGCATTCGCTAAGTTCTGTGCGTCCATTTAATATTAGATAAAAATATCTCTTACGAGTACATATGCTGAACATTTGCAGGCATTGGTTCATCTTCATATTCTCTGTACTTTTCTGCCACGTCAAATAAATAAATGACACAATGGAAAAAACCTAAAACAAGTAGTCCTATTTCAAACCACATTTACTTACTAATAAAATTTCTTTATTGTGACACTTTCTCCAGTTTATAGGACCTCTCTCATATTCTATCTTGTCATATATAAACTCATAGTCATGTATGTCCTCTAACCATCTCATAACGGTTTCCAAACCACTTTTATCGGATGTAAAGTAAAAGCATGGATGGTTATGTATAACGTCTAAAGTTTCTAAAGAGTCTCTCAAAGTCCAGTCTACTTGGTATTGAAAATCCCATGTGTTATAGAACGGCGGGTCCACTATAAAGAAAACATTTTCCTTGTCTTTATATTTTTCATACAACTCTGTCCAATGACATCTCACAAACTCTATACCCTCAATATATTTTTCTATGTCCTCTTTGAAAACATTTGTATAGTTAAGATATAAAACTTTTGACATAAGTGTTTCAATGTCATGAACTCTTATAGCACCACTATATAATAGTCTAGCAGATATACTATCCCAGTCTATATATTCTGCTTTTTTCAAAACCTCTCTCACAATATTTTTCTTATCTAATGGTATACGTTCCATCTTACCTATAGGTATCTTTTCTTTTAACTCTTTCAATATATTGTTTGTGTCTGGAATATGTTTGAGACAGTTCATATAGTTGTCGAAGTCATTGCATATAATCTTTGAGTCAGTAAATACGGTATGACATAAATGGGATATATAGAAACTTCCACCGAACAAATCTACAAATGTTAGACCATTCGGTAGTTTCTTAAGTTCTCTCAATATAATATCTTTACATCTACTCTTATTTCCAAAGAACGGTAACGGCGTTTTTGTAAAATTCATTTATATATAATAATAAAAATGTTTTTACCCGAAAAGTGACAGAAAAGTGACAAAACATGAAAACATATATAATTTATGAAAAGTGACATTTAAAAAAAGTGACACCATTAATATGATGTAAATAACAACGGTTTTGGTTTTGTCACCGGCTGGTCGGCTGGGGTTCGGTCCTCCTCTTGGGTCTTGGGCAAAATTTCTTATGGGCTAGAGGGCGCAACGCGCCTGGAAGCCCTCCGAATAAAAACTTCATTTATACTAAACATCTTCGGGGCTAGAGGGCGCAACGCGCCTGGAAGCCCCACTACCTTTTTTTTGAATTGCAATATATATCATCTAAATATATAACTATCAAAATATGAGCTATAGATTTTTAAATTATTCTCCTGAATATGAGTGACTAACATAATTATATTGAATTGAGTAGTAAGAATCATAAATATTAGAATCTGACGATAATTTATTATAACTTTATATAGGAACAAGATTATAAATGATGATGAAAATAAAGATTAAATTTAAATCTGAAAATTTGAAAACATTAAGTGTATATGATAGCATTACAAAATTAAATTTTATGTGGAAGAGGAAATAGAGGAATTAGAAGTATTATGAGAAAATAATAAGATATAAAAACAAGATTCTATTAAATGAGTTAATTTATAGAAAGGAATAACAGTGTGAATGTAGTAAATGAATGTTTTCATGATGTATTATTGAAATCTTAAGTTTTGTTAAGAAGATAATAAGGGAATCAAATTTTGTATTAGGAAGTTTGACCGACAAGAGTGTATTGTGCACTCTTGTCGGTCTGCATGTCTCATTCCGGGAGACATTGTCACTGCATGTCTCCCAGAATGAGACACTCTTCCGCATTCATAACTTGAATGCGGAAGTTTGACCGACAAGAGTGCACAATACACTCTTGTCGATCTAAATGTATCTTACAATCAAAGACACTTTCATACAATCTTTTCGAAGTTAAAAAAAAAAATTAATTATTTTTTCCTTTTTGTTTATTAAATCGCCTTACTCACGTACTAATCTCTTTTAGAGACTCTATCGAGCTATCCCCACATATAAACCTGTGACAATAATACATATTTACTCTCTTCATATTCTGATCTCATGACACATTATCGCAAAAACTATAATTATACAACACATCTCATAAAGTCTCATTTTAGCCCTATCTAAGCGTTCAAAACCTATTTTCCACACGTAATCTGATTCTTCTGGCTCCGCTGATTCGATTTCTGCTGTCAGATCGTGAAAATATGCATCACATACAGAGATAAATGCAAATTGCACAACTTAATATTTTCCTTAAAATTTCTCTTCAGGTATAATGTATAGATTGTATTTTATTGGATGATATAATCATGAAGAAAATAATGAATCAACGCGTAATTCCTTTGGAATTATAATATCGTACAAGATATTTATTTTCAGTTGTTTTGTTTCTATGAGAAATCTGCATTTGAAGCTGCATATATGAAACAAATTATCAAAGAAAACAAACATACAATTTAACAAGAGAACAAACAGTATATTTATGCATAAAAAATTATTATATTAACCCAACGCTGACATTAGCTTTAAGTCCATTTTTCGAAAGTTGAGCTTGAGTTTTCGCTTTCTTTAATAGATCAATATTGTTAGCAAGTCGTTTGTTGGATTGAATTGCAGCATCCAAATCTTCCTGAAGCAAAAGTATGGTTTGTATCATTCTTTCTTTAACCTTCTTATCATTTTGAATTTGCTGATCAGATACTTTTTGTTTTTCAGCTATTTTATTAGCTAAAATCTTTTGATTTTGCAACAATGTTGGAATAGCATCAGCCATTTTTTCTCTATATGCATTTGTAATCATTCTTAAGGCTTGTTTTTCTATTTCTTGAACCGTTGCAGGGTTTGTATAATTTAATAATGGATCTTTTAGCTTCTTTTCGTTTTTCTGTTTCTGGTATTTTTCAATATCTCCTTTATAGATGGGAACCCAAGATTCCAATTCTAAATTCTTCAAATCTGATTCTTCAGCTTCAAAATCTCCTCTTCTAAATTCTTCTTGGAATTTAGTTTTCCAATAATAAGTAGGAGATTTAGATAAAGCATTGGCTTTTGGGCGGAATGCTTTTACTGGAGTTCTAAAATTTTTAATGAGTGAATCAATTTCTGAAGATTGCAATGGAGATGCTTTTACATCTGCCCTAGGAGCTGAAACAGGACTTTTTGATGTTTTTTGTTTCTCCTTTGGAGGAGTTACCAAATCCATATTCGTTAATTTCGTCACTTTTTTAAAAATCATTTTCATTTTCCACATTTGATATGATGCAAGAAATCGACAAGGTTTAATGCTTTATTGATTTAATGATGTAAGATGAACAACAAATATTCATATTGTTGTCGCCAATGATTCCACAAGGAATTTTCATATTTTCCATGTCAACATAAAATGTAATAATTGATTTACGATTTCAAAATATATAAATCTATTTCTGTAGCTACCTCAATATCATTAGAAGTTGAATTATGAATTAAATAAGCTAGAATTAATAATTCATCAAAAGAAAAGCACTTTGGGAGATTAACACTATAAATATAAGGTTCTTTGATGAGATTTATTCATCTCAGAATTAAAAAAAAATATAATTTGATATAATCTTGATAATGAATAATTATGATTAAATAACATTTTAGCAAAATAAAGAAAATATCATGAGCAGAATAAAAAGAATAATAAAGATAAAATACAATTTATTCGATTAGAATTCGAACTGATAATCTTAGTTAAACCTATTGTATTAAAAGAGTTGGTCATGGAGCTGAAGGTACATTTATTTTTAATCAATCCGGTTAAATCGATGCCACTAATAGTGAGAACGATCAAAAAATGATGGTTAAAAAAATTGAAATTAATTTGGTAAAATTTTGAAAGACATATAATGGATAATAAGCAATTCCATTAAATTGAAGGTCGAAAAGTAATGAACGATGAAATACATAATTGATAGAGACAATTATTTTACGAAAAATAAATCAGCTTTATTTTGAATAATAACAAACAGTTGGCAAATTGATGTATTTTTTGGTGGATGAAAAACCGATCGAATAATTGAAAATTTCCATAGTCAAAAAGTAGATATTATTTTGAGAAAAAGCTTATATTCAGCGAAACAAAGAAGAATCCATGAAAGTCTTTTGTTATATGATCAATAAAACTGATGGTAGGATTCCATGAAATAAATTAGCAATAATAGGATTTTTTTTAAATGGAATCTAAATAAAGAATCAAGCAAAAATAGGAAGGATAGGAAGGAAAGACCATCTATTATCATAGAATCAACAGCAATTACAAAATATAATATATACCCAGATTTTCCTTACTTTTACTACCTCTCTAAAGCTGGGGACACCGCCTATCGTTGGGAGTAGCTATTAAATAGAACCACCAAGGGTATTTTTCGAACTGCCGGTGTAGTGGAAACATCCGACATAATGATTCATTATGCCAAGGCTTGATTCCCATTTAGCCAAATTTTTTCTTTTTTGGATCATGAATTTTTTTTTGGGTCACTATAAGATTTGTTTCATGTTCTAAATCTGCTGCATATGTAATCTATTTTTATTTACCTATTTTTTAAAAATTGATTGGATTGCCAAATTTGAATATATTTAAAATCATAAAACTCCAAAAAAACTATAAATATATGTTTTATGCATAGTGCCGATACTCAAATATCAGATTACTTAGATCCATGAATAATATCCGAATTTTTTTTCTTAAAATTAAACTTCAAAACTTCTTGCAATCTTATTCTTCATCAATTGTAAATTTTTAAAACCATTTTTTAAAATAATTTTGCGTAAATTTTATTCTCATGTTGTTTTAATCGAAAATTGATACATTTTCAAAAAAATAATATTGACTTATGAAATTCATTTTTAAGGTGAAATAGTATTGTTTTTATTAAAGTATATGAATAATATATAAAAAATTAATGAATAATATAAGCAGATTTTTAGTTTACAAAACAAATATGAGCAATGCAATTTCAAACTTTTGCTGGCAATTTCGATATTGCTCAAGTTTGTAGTATTTGTGATACCTATAACATCGGCTTAATCAAAATTCGATTTTTCTTATGAGTTATTGAGAAAATTTGATTGCAATGAGAAGGATTTCGACGTTTTTGATAAACTAAGAGCTGAGCTTTAGGGGTTCAGTTCATTTATGGCTGTAGTTTGATGCGTAGATCTCTTTTTTATTGTAAATTCTTTCAGCATGGAGATCGAGAATGAATCTTTTGAGAACTTTATGAGTTTTTACACCCGTAAAGAGGTCCTTCGAGGAAAGATAGTCCAGACTACATGAAGATGTGGGTTAACCAAAAAAATCCGATGGTTTCCCCATATTCATGTAGATCTTCGAAAAAATGAGCACCAAAAAAGCCAAAAAAATAGGCTTTTTATTGGATTTGTACACTAGATCAATAATCTATTTAGGATCTGACACTCTTTTTAGCCAGAGATATGAGGTCCTTTCTAGGAAAACGATCTATTCATCCATAAAAAAATGAATTATCGTTTTCCCCAGAAATTACATGGGGAGTGGTAAAAGTAAGGAAAATCTGGGTATATAGAAAAAAAGAATGCTTTTCAAAATAACAAATAAAATGAAATTATTGTTGATGCAAAAATTAATTATATCATCGTTTTCATTATTTTTCCATACATAAATAAAGAAATTATAAAAATAGTTATTAAAAATTAGATGTAGTTGATGATTTTTGTTAATCTGAATTCAGTTATTTATTATATGTCTATAATACATTTTGTCTCGAGATTTTCATTTCACAAACCTTGATTTTTATCATTTTTAATCTTATTTTTTAGTCCAGTATTATATGAATAAATGTAGATTTTTCAGTTTATCTGAAGTTTGAATTGAATTATCTCAAAAAGTAATCTAACACAAAAATTGTTAACAAATCGTCAATTCTAATCAGAATCGTTTTATGGAGATATCTTACTTTACCAAAAGTCATTTGAATCTAAATAATTATATTTTTCACTTTGAAAATTTTGATTAGTTTACACGTTTTCCATATGACAATTCATGGAAAACCTATTTAATTTTTCTGAATATTCAAATTTTACTCTTGATATATAAAACCTATATCATTTATTTTTGTTTCATTTTTTTAAAATTTATCTTGAAAATCTAATAAAGCGTCTTTTTTTGTCTCTCCACCAACAATATTATTAGCTTATGATTTTTATTCTAATTTTAATCTAAAATATCTTTTTCTATTATTGAAATTTTGATATTCAACAGTACAGATTGTTTCGAGCTTGAAACTCTAACACATAGTTCAAGAACACATGTTTGAAAAATATATCAGTATATTCAATATAAATATTTTTAACATAATAAAATCACAGATTATTGTAAAAAAATTACAAAGTTTGGCGTTCAAATATTGAACATGGTCGTGGAATTTGAGGGAATTTGAGAACCTCGTCAACTTTAATTCTATGTACTTTTATTGGAACGTTGACCGAAACGCATTTGATAACCGGTGCTTTCACTTGAGGTGTCTCGGTAGGATGATGATTTAAAAGTATTTCTGGGTCGATTCTATCTGTTTTGATTGGCTGTTTCGTATTTCGTCCTTTTTCGAAGTCATAGATATCTTCATCGGTAAACTCTATCATTCCGTTATAGGTGCTTAGGCATCTGTTAAGAGAAAATTTGTTTGTTTTCTTTATGTATGACGCAATTATAACCCTATTTTGATTGCAGTAAACAGAAATCCATTTAATTCTTTCGTCTTCTTGTGCTCTAAGTTTTGCTGCAACATCCATTGGATATACACCCTTAAGCAACGACTGATATGCAGCGTGATAAGGATCTGATGGCTCTTTAAAATTTGAAATCGGATAGTCTTTACAATTCAAAAACAGTGTATTTGACAAAACTGAACCCAAGCCATCATCCCATGTTTGCTGAATTGATAATGATAACATAAACTTATATCTTTCAGTTTCTCGGAATGAAGTAAATGGTATACCGATACGGCGTAGTGCACGGCAATAAGTATATATGATTGAATCATAAACGTCAGCTTTGGATAAAAATTCATCGGCATTGGTTCCGAAGTTTTTGCATGCGCTGATTGACGAAATTAAACTGCGACGCTCTGCTCTATTCAATTTCTTTTTTGCAGCTAATTTAATGTAGTCTTTCATGCATTTCATAATTTATTGAAGATAAGTTCAGAAAAATAAACTATTCAAAGGTTTATCTATTTTTTTTGAATCTTTTAAATTATAGAGTACTACATAAAGAGTAATTAATTATGGAAATTCCACACGTTAAAAAATTGACAGATGCACATGATGAAAAATCAAGAATTAACTCACAATATATTTGCACACACCATAATAAAAGTTAAAAAAATCAAGTGTCAAATGGAATAAAAATTGAATGGTCGATCGAATTAGATGCTAAAATATAATAAAATAGCGATTATATCTAACAAATAAATAATTTATATTTTGGACGATAAAATTGAGGTTGAAATTCTATTGCCATCTGTTAATTTTCATTTTAATATATAAAACCCGAAATTATACCAACTCTCGAATAAATCACAGATACATTATTAATGATTGATGCATTTTAAAAAGTGACTCACAATTTTTTTTCCTTCCAAACTCATTTATTTATTTTACATCAGGAAATATTGAATTTTTCATTTTTTTTGAAACAATTTAAACAATTATTTCCGAATTCTCTTTTTCAATCCATTTAATTTCGCTACCATTTTTAAATACAAATTTTATTTCATTCAATATATCTTACGATTGATTTCTCTAAATAAAATCTTTGGCAAATCATTTCCCAAATAACTGAGATATTTAATTAAATAAACAATGATTAATTAATATACTCACAATGTCGATTATTGATATCTAACTTCTCTTGTTTAAAGCCGCATTCCAAGTTGAAAAAACAATTTTTTCTTTCTGGTAGAATTCCTCCATGAATTCATTTCTTAACATACAATGAGTGGAATCTTATATAATTTATCTCTTGAGAATTCATATTTCTTTTTAATCCTTCTATTCTTGGCTAACTTTACTATTTTTCAAATTCAAATACATGCAAAACATACAATCCAACATCACATGTACCCATTCAACATGTTAAAATTTATTTATGATCACAGATAAACAAAAATAGTAAATAAGGTGTCAAAATCCACAATTTAAAGTTAAAATATCACGCTTCTTACATGTGTGAGTCTTCTCTTAGCCAAATTGTTTAGATTTATTCCAGAGAAGCCAGTGAAGTAATAAAAAGTGACATATTAGCAGATTGTTCAATGGAACTTCCTGAAGTTGTTCCATTGAAATTTACCATTGATGATAATTTTCTCAAATCACAGCCTGTTAATAACGAGAAACAATTAAGAGACGCTCCTGAAAGGTACATTTCGCTAATATCAAATTCTGGCGACCTGCTGTTCGAATCAGTTATGAGTGGATTACCACAGAACTTTATTAGATCAGATGCCGCATATATAGTCAAAGATTGCACATGTATGCCTTTTCAAAGAAATAGAACGGATAGGCCTCAATAGAATGCTGCGATTTATTTATAATACTTACTTGTTTTGTTGTTATTAAATAAATATTTGATACTCTACAAATTTTTTCCAAATATTTTATTATTACTTGATTTCATATAGATTTTTTAAAAATTAACCCACAAGAGATAATTTTTCTATTGAAAATAACAAATTAAGATAATAAGAAAAATAGATAACAAATTTTATTCGCAATTCAATAATAAAAGTTGGAAAACGCACATATTACATACACAATGGTAGTAACAATTAATAATACTCATCAGGAATCAAGTGAAGAGAGCAATTCTTCAAAAACTCCGGATCGTGTCTTAAAGTGGTCATAGAGAGTGAGACCACAGACAGGGCAGCCCCAATTACCTGTCTCATTCGCGTGCTTAAGAAAGTTCATCAAATCAAAGCACTGCGAGTGAGTACAGAGACATCCACGCCCTGGGTATCGGATTTCTTCATTACTAAGAGGACATTTCGTAGTAGTAAATTGAGATCCAATTGGAAGGATCATTGGTGGATGTTCTTCGATAATTTTGTTAACTAGGAAAGAATAATTCTGGGACATTCGCCATTGTACTGAAGCAACGACCGTAACAATAAGGTTCATTGTATTGAAGACAAAATGGTTGTCTCCATTTCTCATTCTGTCAGTAATGTCGATTTCTTGTCCTGTATAAATTATCCCCTGACCATTGATTTCCAGAGGTATAGAAACAATGGCTGGAACTATAGAAAGGATGATCTGATTCTCTTCGCCGGTATGATAATTAAATGGACAGTAGATTTTGGCAACGTGTGGTGGCAACTTAAAGCAAATTCGATCAGAGTAAAGTTCTCCTAGGCATTTAGTTGAAATTACGGAGTACGGAATATCTGGAAAATCGCTTATGGAGTTATATTTCGCAGAACCAGATATTGGTGGCAAAGATGCTGATATTGATGCCATGGTTTTAATGGGTGCTTGGACAATAACGGGAGTATCACCTTCTGAAGAATCTGAAGAGCATTCCACCATTCTAGGAGCTTTATTTTTAGATCTCTTTTGCGGCTATATAACTCTAACACTATGACCTATATTCTTCCTACGTTCATCAATACTTTGCGAGGTTGCAAATTGAAATGTTGATTTTTCGTTGGGGAATTTCATATTCATTGTATTATCTTGATATGTGGCAGATATGTAATTTTCATTTTCGTGTGATAAATTGTTATATCTATATCCGATATTTGATTTTAATATTGGGTAATTTAAACTCGATTCACCTATTTTACAAACGATAGATGATTCTCGATCCTTATTGATTTCATTAAGGATGGTCGGATCTGAAAGTTCCTTATTCTGATGAAAAATCGATAAATTATTTATTGGTAATTTTGTTTGCTCGCAAATGATGGCTTTAAGTGAAGCCACTGTACATCCATCATGAACTGGTATTTGCAGAGTGTTATTTAGTGGACTGTCGATGTGGATGGTGATGAAGGACATCGATAACCACTTTTTGAATTTTTTTTCAAAAAATAATTGTTGCAATAAAAAAGAGTTCCCTCCCTTTTGTACTACTGCTGAAAAGATTTTACTCTTTATTCAAAATTTTATTATCAAAGAATAAATTTCAATAAAATTAGAATAAGCATTATTAATATAAAATAAAAATAAATCAGAAAAAAAGTGAGTAACGATTTGAAAATTGAGAGAATAAAAAAATGGCTAAAAGCTGTTATTGTTTTCCAATTATTTAAAATAAAAGTATTGTCTAATGACGATGTGTAAAATCCATAATAAAATTGAGAGGATTGAATTTTGATCAACAAAATCTGACATGACTATACTAAAAAGTTTTTTTAGTTCATTAATTAAAAATATGCATACGATACGATTTCTTTTCTAATTATTACTTCCATTTTGGGAAATGACTCACACTTACATTCGTAATCAAAAAACATTGATATCTTATATCTCCTTATCATTTATTAGAATAAAATATTCAAATTGACTCCCAATATGAATTTTGTTAGAGACAATTTCTTTTCGTGGGATGCAAAATTGACTCAATTTTTATAAAAATGGATACTATGAGATGAATATATTGCGGTTATGCGGTTACGAAAATGAAACCACATCCTCACTCAAATATGATTTCAGTTCATTTACAATAAAGAAAAATTCATTAATATTTTCGTTATTAACGCGAAAACTCCATCTATCTTTTATAATTAATATTTAACTTTGACTATATTATACGAAATATATACGAAATGATTTCGAACTCTATTGATCTGCATATATCTACGTAACAGTTAACTAATTATAAAGAAACACAATACCATTCATTAATTTGATATTTCTCTTTATTTTCTTTTGATTAGTTGAATGATATTGTCAATATTTCTCTGAGTTCTGAAACAATCTGAATAAGGATCCAATAATTTGATGACAAATATATATATTTATACAACCACAATTGAACAATGAATGATAAAAGTCTTTTATTTTCTAGAATCCATGATCTAAATATGATACCTACTATATGCAGTACAAATTATTATATAGTTGAGTATTTATATCCGAATTTTCTGGATTTGATAATTGAATTAGAAAGGATAAATCGACAACAATGCAAAAATATGCTTATACTTTATCAGCTATCTATATATAACATATAATGAGTTTTGGAACAATATCAAAAATGAAATTCTAAACGTGCGTTTTAATTTATTTGACTATGCTTCCTAAAACGCGTAAGCCACTCGCATCTTTGCCTGCAAGTCAAATGAATGTCCCAAGAGATCTAAACAGTAAAATGAAGCTTTCTTCGAAAATAGATAAAACTACATCTTCATCATCATCTGCAAGTAGCAACGAAGGAAATGAAATCAATGAAAAAGTTAAAAAGCCAAAGCTTAATTTCCTACAAGTAACCCATCACAGAGCTGTAGTTAAAGTAAACGGAAATGTTTATTATCATATCGATAAAGAGCCAATAGGTGCAGGCGGTACATCTAAAGTTTATAAGGTTGCCAATGCGCACGGCGAAGAATTTGCATTAAAAGTCGTAGACTACTCAAATGCCGAAGATAAGACAATTGTCGAAACCTATAGAAAAGAAATTGAGATTTTAGAACAATTTAAGGGCGAAGATAAGATCATACAGCTCATTGATAGTGAAATCAATGAATCGAAGCAAAAGATTTATCTTGTTCAAGAGCTTGGTGATGAAGACCTTAAGAAGTTCATGGAATCATGTCCAAATGATAAGTTTGACATACAATTAATCCAAAAGATATGGTTTGAAATACTTTCTTCTGTTAAAGTTGTTCATGATAAGTCATATTGCCATACAGATCTAAAACCAGAGAATTTCTTGTTTGTAAATGGACGCCTTAAGCTTATCGATTTTGGGATTGCAGAAAAAGTTAATATACACGAAGATACAACTCGCGTAACAAGAACAAACGCAGTTGGAACTCTAAACTATATGGCACCTGAAACTTTGGATCCTCAGAACCGTAAAGTTGGAAGAACAACAGATGTATGGGCTTTAGGGTGTATTTTGTATCGTTTAGTTTATCACAAAATGCCATTTCCTCAATCAAAGCCAGAGTTGAAAATTTTGGCAATCACAGGTGGAATGCCATACGAAGTCGTCTACGATTCAATAGGATATGATGAAGATCCACCAGAATTACCTTTAATTCAACATATCATTCAGCAATGCTTGCAAAGAGATCCAAAATTGAGGCCAGAGATACACGAACTTCTTAATGAGCCTTTGATTCCACTTCCAGAATCAGCAGAACCAACCAAAGAACAAAATGAATCAGAAATGGAAATGATTCCAGGAGAACCAGAAGACATAACACCTGAAGAAAAGCTAAATGATGTCGATTCTGTTATTTCTCATGACGAAAGTGATTCTCATCATGAGATTATCGAATCTGCTCATGAAATAATCGATTACAATGACCCAGAGTTCGTTAATTATAGAAGGTTCCCTGGCTACTTTATATTCCAATTCTTGCTTGAATTCATTAATTTTATCCAGGAAAATGTTTCATCTCAACCAACAATGGAAAATGTTTTCAGTTCATTGCACATATCTAAGCTGATTGAAGACTATCATATTGAAGAAATCTCTTCAAAGTTCTCAATTGCAGATTTTAAGTCGAGATTACTGCACTTGGCTGATCAAATCTTCAATGATTATTCAGATGATGACTTCAACTCTCAAAATACAGGTCATACTATTGTTTCTTATCTCACAAAAATGTTTTGTAAGAATCAAGAATTTGATGTTAACTCTGCATTAAGGAAATGGTCATATTATCATCAAAATTAATTTTTGTTTCTAAATATTGTTATTTATTAGCTAATTTTTCAAATTGAATTTAATATTAATTGTTTTGTGGAATAATCAATAATAACATTAATTTATAGAAAGATTAATGCCATTGTAAGTTGTTATTTTTAGAGTTTATGAAATACGTGATGAAAAATCAATCATTGTATATATCAACATATTAAATTTTCAACATAATAGGTCCAATTGAAGTGTTTGATATCGAAAATTCTTGAATAAACTTGAAATCAAAAAAATTGGAATCAAAATTTCCAAAAAGATTAAAAAATGGAGACGAGTTCAATATGACTTTAACGTTTAGCTTGTATTTAAAAAGTAAAAGAGTTATAATAAATATGATTATTGCAAAATTTTTTAATCTTTTTCAGCAACAGCATGGAGGATTTCGTTAACCTTATCATTAGGAAGCTTGGAGAATTTACTATTGTCTCTTGTCAAAAGAGAAACTTCCACGTCTTGAGCTTCGAAATCAACACCACAAACAGTCTGGAGAGTTGAGAGAGTAAATTCGGCGGTAGCCTCTGGTGTCTCGAAGTCTTCCATCTTCTTTTCGAGAGCGCTCATAGCTTCAATTTCTTTGACACCGCATGCGACAGCACGGAAACCATTAGAATAGCCAGAAGGCTCAATTTTATAAAGAGCAAATGAATCTGATGGGCCATCTAAGCCAAAGAGAATGGCTGAAACAGCACTTGGTCTAACGTAAACGAGTTGTGATTCGAGTTGGTGACGCTCTGAAAGCATTTGTGCAAGAATTGAAACTGGAATTGAGAATCCCTGTTTATATTCGAAATTATTAGCAAAGCTACGAAGAAGCATGACGATAAAGTTAACATCGGAAGGCAAGCCAACAAGGCATGCACCAACGTTATCTGTAATGCGATACATATGTGTTACTGTACTTGGATCAATAAGTTTATCAGAAACTTTCTTTTGGACAGCGACACAGACTGCATTCTTGCTCTTAACAGCAACAGCGGTAACTTCTGCCTGCTTCACTGCCTTGAAGGAATATTCCACCTGCCAAAGGCGGCCTTCCGCTGAGAATACAGTGAGGTAGCGATCTGCACCAGACGACATTCACGGTTTTGACACAATTCTCAAAATTGGTCGAATTACTTTCTGCATACCTGATGATTTTTCGTCATTTTCTCTAGCATTTTTAAATAATATGGAATATAATGGTCTATTATTCTAAGGAAATATTTGGTTTAGAAACAAATAAAAAAATTCTTGATTTTAATTTCTTCGAATTTCAAGCTCTTTTCTTGTGCACTAAGAAATATGAGTGATGTGATTTAAAATACATGCTTGCTTATTTATTAAAAGCAAAATTTATGAATAAATATTCAATAAACTTGAATATAAGAGAAATCGGATCGACTCACAGCCGAGTAGTAAAGATTTAAATTGATTTGATTTGGAATTCGTAAAGATATTATCAATTTTTTTTCTTTTGAGAAGTTGGCAATAAAAAGTAGATAAAATTTATTAATAAATAATAAATAGTTTATTTACAATCTTGAAACAGTAGTTTGAAGGAGTTCATCATCATCAATTTCCTTCTTATGGGAAAGTAAGTATTCTTTCATATTAATCTTAGCAAGTTCTGTTTTGTCCATTAGATTCTCTTCATCAAGAATTGAACCAACTGTCCAGCACAATCTTGAGAAAAGAACAGGGAATTTCTCAGTAATTTCGATGATCTTCTTGAAACCATTGAGAGAGTAAAATTGTTCTCTAAGTGGGACAAAACTACGAATTGCGGAAGAAATCATACCAACTTTTCTCTTTGCTGGCTTTTCGTCATCTTCGCCATCTAATGTATCAAGAATCTTCTGCATACCGATCTTCTTTAGGAACTTATCTTGTACTTTTGGATTATTTTGAAGGGCATTTGAAATAATCCAAGCTGCAGCCATACGTGTCTCAGTGTTAGGATCACGAAGGTATGGGAGAACAATTTCAAATCCATTAAGGTCGGCAAACCAGTCAGCCTGGTCGAGACCTTCAACAATGTACAAAACTTTATCGAGAGCAAGATGCAAGTCTTCGAGTTTTTCTGGCTTGTTCTCGAGTACTTTGACATTCTCCTTTAATACCTTGATTTCATCGGGGAATGCTGTTTCCCAAAGTTCTTTGAATTCTTCATGAGTCATAAGCTTAGCTTTGTCAACATTCTTGATCTCTTCTGGATTACTATTAGCTACTGACCAGCGAAGAAGTCCCTCAGGTGTGTGCTTGTTGAAATCACGTTCACTCATTTATTTGTGATGTTTTTTTTATCGAAGATTTTACTCACAATTTTGTGTGGCCGGACACTTAAAAATTTTTGGCAAAGTTTATTTCACATATTACCTTGGCATGCTCTAGAAATGCTATATTCATTGTATTTCAATCGCATTATGCATCACAATAAATTTTTCGTTTGAAAAATAACCAAAAAAGTACTATAATGTGTATGTATTTTGTGATCATTTGTATCTAAACGTCAGATAATACCAATACGATGGTTGACATATCTATTAATTGTTTTTATTTGTAAATATAAGAAGGAATAAGAACAGAGTAATCTTAGTATACTGTTTACAATGATCACATTGAGCAATGTATGAATAGTTTTGATCAATACTAGAGATATGTTTTGAAATATCCATTAAAATTATTATATTTTTTTAGAATTTGATGAAAATAAAGTAATAAGTTAAAACAATGATAATCTTTAGGATAAGTAAATACGAAATTCACATTAAAAAGAAATAAAATAGGAAATTATATTCAATTATTTGCTTAATTTTGTCAAATTCCAACTCCACAACTTTGCACCACCGATTGCGAGTATCAGCCATAACAGAACACCTACGAAGATTGCGTATCTTCCGATGTAAGCCTGTCCGAGTGTTACGTAGTAAAGCATTTGGTTATTCCATCTTGTTTCTGCGAAATAAGGATTATCCCATGTAGAAACATTGTACTTGTAATCATCATAGTCAAACTCCAATCCTGGGTACAAAGCCGGTGAAAATTCGACATTAGATTTAACGCATCTGTTGTTCCAACCGCATTTGAGCTCTGGATCGATTTTAGAGCAGTTTACCTTCTCAGAATCACTGCAGTCAACATCCACGTACTTGGCAGCCTTTGTTTCGTCCATAAACATCTTGATAAACTGATGTTTTGTTCTGTAAGAGTAACCAATAGAAACTCCAGTGTAAATTGAGCCAGGAACAGTGGATAACTGTGGTCTCTTTTCGGAGAGAGGCCAGAAATGGAGGAATATTGATGATGCATTGGGGTTAACAGCGAATCCGTACAGTGTTTGGTTGATCATATCTTTATCTGCGACAATTGATGAAAGATTCGCCTCAGGAAGGTCGGGGAAGCAAAGCTTAGCAAGAAGCCTGGCGGTATTCGTTGCTGCTTTGGTCATGTAGTCGATATCGATGTTGTTATAACTGTCATCTGGCATTCCGATGTTTTTATTGACGTATTGCCTGTTAAATCCGGTAAGAACAACATGGTTGAAGGTGCGGTTTTTGTATTTGAGGAAGGAATTCATGGATGATGGTGGAACTCCGGGTAAATCTGAATCGGCTTGGGAAATTGAGACGCCACTGTAGTTTACTGAAGTGACGTTCGAAAGAAATTCTGCATTAACTTCTTTTTCTGAGTGTGCGAAAAGTTTAGATGAATCATTGTATAAACCAATGCTTTGGAGCTCAATAACAGTATCGAAATCGTCAAGAGTAATATTCTTGAAGCCCATATATGCACGGTATGGTATAGAACAAGCATCTGAATTGTCTGAATCTGGTGTTTGGCATTTGAAGTTGGCAATATCGTAAAGGAAGCGCTCGGAACCAGAGTATGCAAATTCTTCTGTATCAAAGAATATATAACGAAGTGGTTTAGTGGCTTCTGACCAAGTCAAATTTTGTAATGCTCTCAAAGCAGCGAGTAAACCAATGAATCCTGACATAGAACGATCAGCGCCGACATGGTTGTATGGAGTAAGACCGAATGAGTCGATTGAAGCAATGGCCCAAACAGCAGGACCGGTGAAATTCGCATCGAACGAACCATAGATGTTAACGCCTGAAACAGGGTCTGCCAATGGGTTTCCGCTCTTTTTAGTAGTGTACGATTTCTTGAAGTTGCCACGTGAATACTGTCTGTTGTTGATATAAACTCCGGATTCTTCTGGAAAAGCATTCATCAATGCTAAAAATGCAGCAAGGTATTCTTCTGATGTGATTTGATAGATATCAAATGAATGCTGCTTTCTGTCTGAGCCAGATCCATATGGATTCCAGTCGTAATCTTCTTTATGGTATGAATACTTTTGATTTGGATATCTGGGAGCTGAAGAAACGTTGGCATCTCCAGTAGGATACATAATGATGGCACGAAGATATTTAATAGGTTTGAAATTATTTTCAAGATTTGTTAAAATTTCATCGGTAACAAGAGAAGTTGGGAGAAGAAGTGTTTCTGAATAATAGTGTTTATTAGCAATGTGGTTTGTTAATTCTTCTGCTGTTGTAATTTTGACTAAATAGCCATTGTTGCCTTGCCATCTTGTTTTAGGACCCATCCAGCCGTCTGTAGTTGGCATTCTGAAGTTGAATTCATTTGGAAAAGACAAACTATATTCTTTTGTTAGATATAAGCAAGCAAAGATAAACATTTATAATTTTTTTTATAATTTATTTACGATTATCAATGTCAAATTTTATTTACCTTTTTTTGTCATCGATGTTTTTGATATACGAGTTATACTAATGTAATGGTTTGTAATCATTTTTCCATAAGTCAACAAAAGGATTCTTACTTTAATTGTAACCTCATCGAAAATCAACCGACATTGAAGGTCGAAACTCACATGGTTAACTCAAATCTAATCAATTTAATAATTTTGCTCAGTAAGGATGCATAAATAGCATTTGACATCTTGAACATTGTTTTATCTATTACATCCTTTTATTTGCTCATAATTTATAAAACCAATTTGAAGATTTTATGCAATTTTAACCCTCAAATTTACTAATTATGAATCTTACACAATCTTTAATAAGAATCGACCATGAAATGCCGAAAAACTACATTTCTACGTATGTATCTGCAAATTTTTACTCATTACAGAGCTATTATACCTATTTTAATGAATATTAAATTTGATTTTCATTCTCATGAATACTAATTATATATTGGGCGATAAAAGAGCCTCTTCCATAATTTGTTAAGGAAACAATGATCTGTTTTGATGCTTTCTTTGCTGCAAAACGTTGTGCAGTTTATTTTTTTAGTAAATATATCTATTTATCCCAGTGAAGAGTATGATTACATAAATCAACTCCATGAGGTATTATTTTAACCTTTGCTCTGGGACTTTATTGTAATATATTTTTCACTCGAATATGAATTCTAATAAAACTGTGTAAAGTAGAACGCATGAGATTGCATTCAAAATATATATGAATTAGGACCTTTTAATGATCAGGGTATCAAGTTTCATCAGCTTGAGAAACCATCTAGGGGCGTAATGACTCTTCATACCGGAAATTTAAATAGACTAATTTACACAATTGCTAATTGTTCAATGAGCATTATATGAAAATCACTTTTGAGTATTGTTTATCGACTTGGAGAAATTTTGAATTGGAAAAAAATAAATTTGAATGTCAGGAATTGATGTCTCATTGCCAATACTACCATTATCTGACAGTGAGCCACAAGTCCATACACCATCTAAAAGTAGCCTAATCTCTCAAATATCATCTATAGTTCAGAATTTTCCAGTTAAAAATCTAAATTTACCACTATTGACAGCCAATTTGTCAACTGGGAAGCAATTAGGAATGAATGTTCACACGTTATTATCTATTAATAAAGTACTGACACTTTCAGATAAAGAATTAAAACTTGTAGAAGGATCAATCTGCATAATTGTTCAAGAAGCACTAAATTATGTGAAAATTAATGCATCAAATAGCTCATTATCAATTGATTCGTTCGCGAGTTCAAACTCTGAAATCGAAATTTCAAACCTTAAACAAGAAATTTTAGAAAACAAACAAAAACTCGAAGATCTTACAAAAGACATTACTAAAATGAATGAAATTAATCAAGATTTACAAGAAAATCTTATAAATAATCAAAATCAAAAGCTAAATATCAGTGCAAAATTAGCACAATTGAAGCAAGAACAGAGTAATGAAAGAACAAAGCATATCAAAGAAACAATTAATCTTCAAGAAACAATACTTACCTTAAAAAGTAACATAAAAGCCGAACGACTGAAATTGTCACATAAAAGGGAATTATCGAATCAACTACGAGATGAAAACGCATTATTAGCCGAAGAAAATACACAACTTCAATTAAAATTACAATCTAAAAAACAGAAAATCTCAAGGTTAAAGAGCCAACTAGCCAATTTAAATACTAAACTAATGAATAGTGAATCGAAAATCAAAGAAACAGAACAATTATTACAAGAAAAACCCGAAAATTCATTTGATAATTCAACACAACTCAGTTTATCACTAATTGATAACTCCGAACAGTATACAGAGGCAATCGATAAACTAAATAACCAATTAGAATTGCAATCGATCGAAATACAGATTTTATCAAAGAAGAAAACACAACTTTTACTACTTTTCCATAGTCTGAATGATATATGTAGGATTCTAGAAGCACGAATTAAGTCATTACAAAGTCAAAACAGAGTTTTAAACCAAAAATCTTCATTTTTCTCAGAAAAATTAACAGAACTAACGAAAGAACACGAAGAACTAAAGCTGACAATGAATTATAAATCAGATCTATATAACCAAATACGAGAAATTCTCGAAATTGATGAAAATGAAAAAATTATTGATGAAATTCGAAGATTAAAGAAAAATGATTCATCTAAACAAAACAACCAACTTGTACAACTTATGAAATGCCATAGTTTGTTTATTTTACAAGTCTTGGAGAATCAAAATCCGGAATTTGATTTAAATTCAACCGAAGTTTCATTCATTGACAGTGAAGAACACAACAACAAGATCAAAGAACTTATAAAATTAGCCGATCATCATATTAATGATTTTATTTCTCAAAATTCAATTAAAACATCAAACAAAAGTAACACAACCAATGAGAAAGAAATCATTACCAAATTAATTGAAAGCAGTTCACTTGAAGATGCCAGACTAGTTTATCACTATCAAATTGAGAAAAATCTTTATTTGCTGAAACAAATTAAAGAAATTTCGAAAGAAAACAAGTATTTGAAAGATATCCTTTTAAACATTAAAGAGGTGCTTGGTTTACAATGTGATGATCATGATATTCCCGCAGAAATTGTTGATAAAATCAACATTTATAATTCATTCATTCAAAATTTATCAAAAATTCTCAAAAAGAAGCAATTGAACGAGATAACCAATGAAATACTCTTTCAGAATAGATTGATAACTATTCTAGATCGTTCTGTAAGAAAAGAGTTACAATTTGAAGGAGATTTAGCTGATTTACCACAATATATCATCAAAAACTTATCATTTAAAAATTGACAAATGTCATTTATTTTACATTTGTTAGTAAAAATTCTTTTAGAATTATTTTTTTTTGTTTAATATTCAGCACCTGATTGAAGAACGGCGGCTAACTTTTGGTATTGCTCTTGAGCTATTTGTGAACCCTTTAAGGCATCATTAATATATGTTTCATTTTCCCAAATTTTGTCTTGAAACTCGCCCAAAGTAATTCCGCATTCTAATGTACCTTTCATGATATTGAAGACAATATTAATAAGAATTTGTGTAATTTCAAATACCCTTGGTGACTTTGTTGCCAACATTTCAATTAGAGTGTCAATAATTTCTTCTGTAATCCTGCAACTTTTAGGATCTGCAAAGAGAAGAAGATCTAAAGATTTATCTTGGATTTCACCATTACCGAAATTGAACAAATCATCTAATTTATCAATAATGAAGTAACAACAATCTTCGTCATTATCCCAAACTGAAGAACTTGAAATAAGTGCACTAATTGTATTAAATAGAATTGAGAAATTCTTGTTTTCCAAAAATTTAAGAAGATGATTTTTAATGGTTTCGATACCCAAAGAAACTGATTGTGCAACTATTAACCCTGATTCATTGTATGCTTGTTGGTCTGATTTTAAGTATTCTTCCATTAGAGTATAAATTTTAGAATGCTTTTCTGATGCTTTTGGAATAAATGATATAGCCTCTAATGCTAATGACCGTTGTTCGGTTATATAATCTTCTGTTGAATCTTGGTATTCATCAATGTAATCCAATAGATAATTTGTTAATTTATTTGCTGCGCTTTCTGACATTGAACTTAGTTTTTCGACGACATACCGTATAATTGATGGACAAAAAAAAAAAAAAAAAAAAAAAAAAAAAAAAGGGAGTGGGGCTTCCAGGCACTTCGTGCCTTCTAGCCCTAAGAATTTTTCCCAAGACCCAAGAGGAGGACCGAACCCCAGCCGACCAGCCGTTGACTTTTTTGTCATGATTTCATCGTAAATGTTTTGTCAAGACTTCTTCGTAAATGTTTTGTCAAGACTTCTTCGTAAATGTTTTGTCAAGACTTCTTCGTAAATGTTTTGTCAAGACTTCTTCGTAAATGTTTTGTCAAGACTTCTTCATCGTAAATGTTTTGTCAAACTTCTTCGTAATGAGCGTAAAGGACCCAAAAATATAATTTATGTTAGAATGTTAGATCTAACATGTTTTCTAACATGTTTTCTAACATCGTAGAAAACTCATGATTTCATCGTAAATGTTTTGTCAAGACTTCTTCGTAAATGTTTTGTCGAAACTTCTTCGTAAATGTTTTGTCATGATTTCATCGTAAATGTTTTGTCGAAACTTCTTCGTAAATGTTTTGTCAAACTTCTTCGTAAATGTTTTGTCAAACTTCTTCGTAATGAGCGTAAAGGACCCAAAAATATAATTTATGTTAGAATGTTAGATCTAACATGTTTTCTAACATGTTTTCTAACATGGTCTAAAACTCTTGAATTTTCATGAATTTTCATGATTTCATCGTAAATGTTTCGACAAAACATAGACAAGAAAGTTCATGAGAAATTAGACAAGAAAGTTTTGACAAAACATAGACAAGAAAGTTCATGAGAAATTAGACAAGAAAGTTTTGACAAAACATAGACAAGAAAGTCTTGACAAAACATAGACAAGAAAGTTTTGACAAAACATTGACGATGAAGAAGTTTCGACAAAACATTTACGATGAAAGTTCATGAGAAATTAGACAAGAAAGTCTTGACAAAACATAGACAAGAAAGTTTTGACAAAACATTTACGATGAAATCATGAAAATTCAAGAGTTTTAGACCATGTTAGAAAACATGTTAGAAAACATGTTAGATCTAACATTCTAACATAAATTATATTTTTGGGTCCTTTACGCTCATTACGAAGAAGTTTGACAAAACATTTACGAAGAAGTCTTGACAAAACATTTACGAAGAAGTCTTGACAAGATAGAATATGAGAGAGGTCCTATAAACTGGAGAAAGTGTCATATAAACATCTGTCAAAAACCGCTTTTTAACTTCACTTAAAATGCCACGTAAGCTACGTAAGAATATACGTAAGAGGAAGAGAGCATTGAAACATCCAATAGTAAGACTAACACCACAACAACAGTTGCAACAACAAATTATGAATGACCCCACTATGTTGCAACAAATGTCAAGCAACCCTATGCTTTTAAACCGAGTTATTGGTGCACAGAGTGGAGGTTTAAGAGCGGCACTTTTAGCGAAAATGGCAGGCTATGGTGGAGCTGCAGACGGAACAGCTTATAACCCTCAAAGTCAAATGAATTTGAGTTCACTCAAAAATCAAATAACAGATGTCAAAAAGTCAAACATAGACATACAGAAACAAATAAGTGAAAACGAAAAGAAACTAGAATATGACAGACACACAAAGAAACTCAATGAGTTAAACGTAGAGAAAAAGAAGAAAGAAGAACAACTGAAAGAACTAAGTACAGAGGAATATGCGAAAAAAGTGTCAGAAAAAGCAGCAGAAGTAGCAAAAATGGAACAAGATGTTATAAATTTGAAAAACCATACTACTCAATATAAAGTACTGAAAGATGAAGAAATAAAACAAAAAGCCCTGAAGACATATATGGATAGCGATGAGTATAAAAAAGAAGTTGAAGCAAATGTAAAGGCAGAAAAACTTTTACAGTTGCAAAACCAAACCGTACAGTATGAAAACTTAGCACAAGAAAGTAAAAATAACGACGCAGCCATGCAAAAGGCAATGAAAAGCGCAGAATATATAAAAGCTAATAATGACTGGTTAGACGCCCAAGCCAACGCTAAAGCAGCCCAACTTATAGGGTCAATAAGGACAAAAATACAAGCGGATGAAGACAGTTCAAATGAAGCTTTAATGAATGCTGACTTTAAGAACGCCTTCGAAGCTCTTCATAGTAAGGTGAAACTAGTGAACGACTTCTCATCTGGAAAGAAACTGAAGTCTGAAGGTTTCGACAAAGAGTTAAGAGAAGTAGCACAAAATATGACGAAAATAACAGATGCAGCAACGAGACAGGCAGTTCAAAGTGCCTATGACGCCGTTAGAGCAACTGTTGTGGAAAGTCAAGAAAAAGAGTTACAACAGACCAAAACAGACCTAGTAAATGCTTTCTTAAAAACGAAAAGTCAGGTAGGACATTATGCTGCAGATGGAACATATGTGCCAGCTGGTGGAACTTATATACCAGCTGGTGGAACTTATATACTAGCTAGTGGAACTTATATACCACCAAACCCTCCAAGAGAAGCACCTGCACCAGGACTACCTAAAACATTTACATCGTCACATGGACACAGACACAGGCATGCACCAAAACCAACACAACAACCAACAGTTCAAAACACTGCACCACAACCAACAGTTCAAAACACTGCACAGCAACCAACAGTTCAAAACACTGCACCACAACCAACAGTTCAAAACACTGCACCACAACCAACAGTTCAAAACACTGCACCACAACCAACAGTTCAAAACACTGCACAGCAACAACCACAAACAGAGCAAGGACATAAAAGAAGTAGAGAACAAGGAAACCAAGAATTCTTAAAAATGCTTAAGGAAAATTATGGTTACCCAGATACTCTTGACTTTAGTGACAGATATAAAGAAGCTATTAGAAAGTTCAAGGAAGGAAATACTGACCCGAACCTATTTAGCTTTATGGTTCAGCACCAAATGGGATATAATTTCAAACCTGGAAAATACAAGCTCGCTAAGGGATATGATTTAATAGCATATCATCCAAATGACATGACTGAATTTACTCCAAGATATTTGGTGTCAGAGCTAAACGATAATTCAACTCTCTTCATGAAACGCGTAAAAAATAGAGACGGAACGAAAGAAGAAAGGGTTATGAATGCGGATGGCTTAAATAGGGAACTTGTTAAAAACGGTCTCGGAATATATGAAATGCCAGCAGATGAGGTACAAGAAACTCCACATGAAGAAGTTCAGATACAACCAGACATGGAAGAAATAGTTCAGCAACAACAGCTAGAAGAGCCTGAAGGAAACGAACAAGTCACTCCTTTGGAAACTAACTTCACAGAACTAGATGAAGATTTGGAACAGCCGAAAAATCTTGACCCTCAACAAGAGTATGCGGAGAATATGGAATCTTTCCAAGAGTCTAAGAAAGATTCGGCTGACATAGTAGAAGAATATCGAAAAATGTTTGCCGACATACAAAAGACTCCAACACCAGATGAAAATATTCAGCATAGAATGGAAGTACTGAAAGAAAATGTACACAAATACAACAACCCTTTTTACTTACGAGCATTTAACGTTCAATCTTCGGATGAACTCGGTGAAAATAAAAGGTTAAATTTCAAGAAAACATATAGAAATGAAACATTGTTTAAAGTTCATTCAGAACCTAACCAAGATGGAAACAAACCTACTTTTGTTTCTGCAGACGATGGAACTACAATGAGATGGGGTCATAAAGCTAATCCAGATAGGTGGTTCATAAACTTACAACCACAATTCCAAGAAGTTGTAGACGCAATGGAAGTGAATGGTGAACGAGATATAGCTGGTATTTTAAGCGCGGCTTTAATGCCATTGAAAGATATGAAACATGCAGATATTTTGGACCAGTATGAAATGAACATGGCTGATGGAAATATAACACCTGACGTTCTAGAACATTTATCTCAAAGAACTACACAGAACCATAGAGATGGTATATTTGGTGAAGAGTTTAGAAAGAAAGTTAGGGAGGGAGAAGGAAGAGAACCTATTGTACATGACCTTGCAAACGAAAGTTTACAAAATGTCATAAAAACTTACTTTGCAGGCGATGAATCGAGAAGGGATGAATATTTAAGAAAACTCAAATGGACAGTACCAAGAAATGTTAGTATTGAAAAACATGTTCCTTGACAAAATAAAACCAACTACAGAAATAACGACGCAAGACTGAAAGATTGGGTAAAAAGCTTTCCCATTCACAAAAGATATAGTTGGTAACATGGAAAGAAAACCAGAATGGCTACAAAAACATATATTTGGAAACGAGCTTATTCCATATGGACAAGCTCTGTTTGAAGAGCTTGAACCAGAAACTCAGGAAAGAGTCATGCAAACAATACGCGAAGACTCAAATACAGACTATGACAAACTCTTTCTAGGATATAGGTTACCTGAGATGGGCGACCAGAGCCAAAAGGCAAAAAGAACATGGGAAATTTGCAACATACTAGATGAACATAATGCAAAGATGCAACAACTTCAAGCAGAGGGCAATGAAGGAAAAAGAAGAGTTAAAAACTCAGTCAGGAAGAAAGTAAAGCTTGGTCCACGTGGGTTCTATTATGACATATAAATCCAACTATTCTATATTTTTACTCATATGAAATGTACGCCGCTCAGAATATAACGCCAACAGTTTTGGATGCTATGAATGGAAATGTTTCCGAATGGTATAACGAATGCGACAATGCCATTAGAAGGTCAGAAATAGTTCCTGGAACTTACGAATATACAACTGCTGTTTCTTATGGAAATGTAGGTGAGTTTGGAGAAGGTTCTTCAACAACAGTAGATATTGCTTGCGACAGGTTTCATATTATTTCTATTGACAACTCTTTCTTATACGTGGAACAAGACATTGAAATAAAACCTTCTGCCAAGTTGTCTGACAAGAAAGGTTGCAATGGAATTTTCTATGTCGGATACCAATATGCTCCAGAAGTTTTTATGGGATATAAGATATATTCTAACTCTGACTTAGTTCAAACAGTAACATGGGCAAACTATGAATGGTTCGCTTTGAGAAACTCAGTACAACCACAAGCTAGAGAACAAACAGACCAATATGCAACTATTGAGAAAATAAGAAGACTTGACCCTAACGTTCCAGGAGTTTATGTTGACCTTTCTGGACAAACTGCAGCAGCAGTAACCAAAGTAAAACTGAAACTTAGAGTTCCTTTGTCATCTTTCCTCATCTTCAGGTTTTTAAGATACTTGCCAAACTGGGCAGGAAAAATTTCTATCGAACTTACTCCAAGCAAAAATAACTTAGTCATTGCACCAACACAAGACCCATTCACTATTACAGACGTAGAGGGAACAAATAAAACGTCATTCGCCGAATTTTGCAAAGACAAAGTTGACTTAGACTTTGGTTTCTCAAACTTCAACACTGAAGTAAACTATTATTTCAATGCTGCTGGAACTGCTTGGGACCCAGTTAAGTTCACATGCGAAAAGTTTGAATGCAAGAGAATAGAAAGCAGACTTGCAGTCTATATGTTGGACCCAGATATTTCAAATGCTTTAGCTGCCAAATATATTGCAGTTCCACTTATGTTCCCTATACACCAAATATCTGTCAAAGACTTTGCAGGTGAAGTTGGAAACCAAAGTGCTGACCCAGGTGCAAGAACAGATATTGCTTTAACAACTGCAATGAAACATGCAGATACTATGTTTGTACTGTTCAGACGAACTATAAATGACTATTCTTGCTTCTACAACCCTGGTATTAAATACCATATAAACATAGATGGCAAATACTATCCAAGAGAAGAATATTCTACAGTTGAGGATATGAGGTCATACAACTTGACATTAGATGCTATGAACTTTAACAACAACTTCACAACAACCATTAACCCTGAAATGCAAAGTTCTATTATGCCATATGTGAAAGTATGGACTCATACAGGAGCTCAAAAAACTCAATATACAAATGGAGACCGTTCAAACTTTTGGCTTGGCATTCCATTTGCTGACTCAGAAGACTTTATGGGTGGTATTTCAACTGTTGGTACAGTTCAAATACAATATACTGGTGACAGAGACGGTCCAGATGAATTGAAAGCAAAGAAGTTTACAAAACCAATAGCACTTTTCACGGAAGATGCTCTTTTGAAGATTCGTTCGATGAAACCTGCTGGAGCTCCTCAGATTGGTATAACGACAGCTTCCATCGAGCAGATTTTGGCAGCAGGTCAGTAAGTTGTTCTTGAACTGACTTCTCTCCGTCAAATATTGACAGTACGCCAGTTTTGACATAAAATTGTATTATAAACTTACCTTTAGAAATATCTGTAAGTTTTGTTGTTATATTTTTGTCTGCTTCAAGAACTTTCACCATTTCAGTTATACCAACTTTCTTTGCTTTATGAAAATATTTTGGTTCAGCAAAGACTGCTATTCTATAACATTTTCCATTGTTTGTATAAAGAACTATTCTGTCGATGTATTTGTATTGTTTGTGTGTGTAAACTTTGTTCTGCTTCAATTCGAAGAGATACTCGAATACGTCCATCTTTTTATTCTAAGTAAAATGTCATTTCCGAAAAATAGAAGCGTAAGTGTTTCAAAAGGTTTAATGGCGGTGGCAGATGTGAAGTTAAATTCACCAACTCAAACAAACAGTCAAAGTGTTGTTGTCAATGTCAAAGAAAGAGATGTTGAAGTGGGGAAACCATACGAAGACGAAGATGGTATAACAATAGTTCCTGTAAAAGAACCAACATATCCTGAAGTTAGCAGAGACTTAAGTTCTGTTGCAGATATTCGAAACGACTACATGCAACTTAAAGACAAACTTAAAACTCAGGAGAAGATTTGTCAAGCTTTAGGTATAATGTTAAACTTGGTCGAACACAACCCTGTAAAAGTGAACTCATATGTCATTGCACCTCATGAAGTTTTGAAAGAACTATTGAAACTTTTGACAGAGGCAGACGATATAAACATCAAAGAAATAGAACCCGACATTGCTTGCTGTGGTGTTTCATACAATGTCATTGACAAGATATACGTTATGAAAGGAGGTGAAACGTTGAACTTAAAATATAGTTTCCCAGACGTCATAAAAATATTTGACGACCACAACATTTCATTAAAATTTACTTGCTAAGTAAATGGCAGAAGACACAATGGTTTATACTATTACGACTAAAAACCCTGAGTCATATAATTCTATAACAACAAACTTACAAAGTCCTCAAGGACGATATTGTAAACTAACCTTAAACACAATGACGACTAAAGCTTGTTTTGCTCTTTTGACACCAGAAGATTTTATTGTTGTGAATGGTAAAAAATACTCCTTTGAAGATACTTACTCAGATATACCACCAACAGGTTTTGTTGACTTATTTAATACTTTAAGGACGGATGTAACATGTGCTGCAACTAGAGCAGGTTTCATTATGTTTGGATGTCCGACTGAGTTTACTATAAACGATATGAGCTATAATACAAAACTTATATCTGGTTTTTACTACCAACAGTTTCCTATAACAGGAAAAGGTGTCATACAAGGTTTGTCTGTTCCATTGACTTTAAGTACACCTATTTTATATATTGTTTCAAACTTAGGTTCAAAGTGCTATTCGAATGTCGACAGAAACTACTATGACCAAAAGATACTCATGCGTATAAACAACACTTTCTCTGCTGGTTTGCCTATTGTTCATTCGAATGCAGAGTTTTCAGCTTTAGTAAACTCAAACACTTTAGCAAACATAAACTTAACCTTAGTTGACGCAAACTTTGTTCCTGTAAAACTTTTATGTCCTATGTATTTGTCAATGACGGCAGAAAGTTTCGAATTGGAAGATGCAACTGGTGAAAGTATTGTACTACAAGAACAACTTCAACAACAAATAGCTCAAGAACAACAAATGCAACAAATGGAACAAATGCAACAACAAAGTCAAGAATAAAAAAAATATTTTTTTTATTTTTATAAAAATGTACAGAATAGATGTTTCAGATTTTTATGACTTCCAAGCATTCAGAAATATGTGTCCATTTAGAGACTTAACAAAGCAGTCGAGAATTTGAAACGTTTAGTCATTTATGTTGACTCTGCCCAGAATGTTATGTCATGAAGAATGGGATGTTGTCTTTAACAAACCAAGAGCAACAATAGTTTCAGAACAAGAATGTAGACAGAAACTTAAGAAAATAAAAGTCGTACAAGTTGGCATGAAGATGTTAGATGCTTGGATATCTTATTGTCAAAGTTAGAAGATTTTTCAGTTCGTGTATAAAGTTCTATACACCATCTCCAAACTTCTATTCTATCTTCACTGGATATAAATACGAACAAGTAGAATGGAAAGAAAATGTTATAGAAGCTTGGTTAGACCATGTCAAAGAAATTATATGCAATGGAAACGAAAGAGTCTATGAGTATATCTTATGTTGGTTTGCAAACATCTTACAACATCCAAGTGCTAAGAATGAAACTGCTCTCATTATAATTGGAAAACAAGGAACTGGTAAAATACTTCTTTACAGATATTTGTGCAAACTGTTAGAAAGGTTATTCGAATCCGAATATGACAAACTTAGAAAACATCTGGGCAAGTTTAAACTCCTCAATAGAGAATATGAAACTTATAGTTTGCAATGAACTTCAAAGTATAGATACAACAAAAGTTTTGAACTCAGATGCTTTGAAGAGTCTTATAACAGATAAAGTTGGAGTTGTTGAAAGAAAATATAAAGACCAAAGAGTTTGTGAAATGTTGCAAACTTCATTATGGTTTCAAACAATGCTGTTCCGATGAAGTTAGAAAGTTCTGACAGAAGATATGTAGTTGTCAGAACGTCAGATTCTCATATGCAAGATACAGAATATTTTGACGACTTAGCAGAAACTTTGACATCTGACTTTTACAACCACTTGTTCTCATATTCATGACATTAGATATTTCAAAGTTCAATCCAAGACAAATTCCACATACCGAAGAGAGACAAACATTGTTAGAACAAACAAGAGTGTATATGAACTGTTCATAGATGAAACTGACTTTGTGTCATTAGATGAAAGGTCTTTATATGATGAATATAAACAATATTGTCAAGAATATGGTTATATGGCAGCTTCTAAACGAACATTCTTGGCAAATGTCAAAAAGTCTTTTAGATGTTCAGAACGGCGTATATACAAAGAAAATTTTATGAGTAAATTTTAAAAAAAATATTTTTTTATCCGATAGAAAAAGATGATGAAATTCATCTCAGTCAACAAGTACATGTCAGGACTTAAAGAAGAACTAGACCCATTCGCTTATTTGAATGTTACTTCTACCATTTTGAAAAGTCTACATTTGACAAAGTTGGAACATCGAACCAGTTAAGTTTGCTATTGTGACTAAAAATGGTGCGAAATTTGAAGACTTAGACATAAAAGGTTTGTTAGCAGTCAAAGAAAATTTTGACAGAAGGTTCTCAAACCTTAAAGAAGGCAAAGCATACAAACTTGTTATACCTTATGAACCAAAGAAAGCAGACGACTATGAATATTATGAGTCTAAGATAGTTGAAGTTCAAGGTAAATTGGGTAAAAAGATTTTAGAGTCTAAGCCAGTGTTTGCTCCTAAAGAGGAAGAGAAACATTGACATTGACCAGAAATGTTCTAAAAATAAAATTTTATTTTTACATGTCAAATTTCTTTTTCTCTGGCTCTGGCTCTGGTCTTCTTCTCTTCTACTTTTCTTTTCTTTTTTTCTTTCTTTTCTCTCTTCTTCTTCTTTTCTGGTGGAGTTATGTCAAATTTCTCAGAACCATATTTATGTAAAAGTTCTTTGTCCTTTAATAGCTCTTCTATTCTGTTTTCTATTTCATCTCAAGAACAGCGCATGTGCTTCTTTGCATTCTAAGAACTTTTGTTGGACTTCATCTTTCCAATCGGCGTCATCTCTGTCAACAAGTCTGTCATTGACAAATTTTAAGACTGCTCTTTGTAATGTTTTATGGTTCTTGTCATATTCCCAGAAACAGAACTTTAGAACAAATTCCCTTTCTTGTTTACACTATGTAAGATTTTATGGTCGACAGATGTTTTGCTGTCGAAAAGCTTGTCTCGAATATAGATAGCGAAATCGCTAGACATTTCCTAAAAGATAAAATTTTTAATTTTTCTAAAAATATGTTAGAAAAAAAGTTTGCTGACATTGACAAGAAATTTGAGAATGTTTTAAACAAGAACAAGAGGAAGTTGGAAAATGCTCAGATAAAACCCATACATGAAAAGTTCTTATTTGCTCAGAATGGTATAACAGGTCTAATCGCACCACCTGGGTCGGGTAAGACTTTCACTTATCTTAAAATGGCTGCACAACAACAAGAACTAGATGAGAAGAACCCATTCTATGAGTTAGTTGTTATTTGTAGTACTTCTGGTCAATTTGACCAAACCGTCAATTCGTTCAAAGATATTATAAAGAAGTCTAAGTTAGTATGTATAAAAGACTCTGAGTTGTTAGATTGGATAAAGAAGTACCAAAGAAGAGTTTTGAAGTACAATGCTATAAATGAGTATGTCAATTCGAAGTTTAAAGACCCAAATGAGGAAATGCAGAGAATATTAGAGAAGAAACACTTCAGAAACAAACAGAAAGAGATAGAATACATTTCGAAGAAATTGCAATCTTACGATTGGAAGACTTACCCTCATAGATGTCTTCTTATCTTAGATGACTTTGCTTCTCATCCTTTGTTAAAGAATAGAGAACAAGACATGTGTCGAATTCTTAAGAAGCTCAGACACTTTAACATCTCAGTTGTCATTTGTGTACAGACAGCAAAGAGTTTAAGTAAGGATGTAAAGAGAATACTTACTGATATCATACTTTTCCCTGGATTGTCCGAAGACGATTTCATGGAACTTATGAAAGAGTCCATGGCAGGTAAGTTTGACAGACATGAACTATGGGAGAAGTACAAAGTCATACAAGACCCTCATACTTCTTTCAGAATTCACATCTACGCGAACAAAGTTCAAATTGTAAAAAGTCAAGCTTAAAAAATAAAGAGTTTTGGCGACCAGGGTTTTTTCACTACTCGCTGTTCTTCACGATTTTCCGAGGGAAGCAAGCATATGAGGAAATTCATGAAATTTCATACGGAATTCAATAAAAATAATGTTTAGGTGAAGAGGTGAGATTTCACCTCTTTTTTCACCTCTTTTTTCACCTCAGTTATTTTATAAGCGTTTCACATGGTAAACGTTATTTTTTAAATTTTGTGAAAACTCAACGGTTTGACACAAGCCCTAAAAATTATTTTACTCAGAATTTTGTTGCTGAATTCAATAAAAATAATGTTTAGGTGAAGAGGTGAGATTTCACCTCTTTTTTCACCTCTTTTTTCACCTGTTATTTTATAAGCGTTTTACATGAATTGTATGATGTATATTTGAAATCCTAAACAATTTCGTAGCTTCTATTTCTTCTTTTAGTACATCGAATGTTTTCACAATGTCGAATGTTTCTTTATATTTCTTCTTGACATCTGAAAGAAGGAAATCTTCTGCTGTTGGATAGTTTTTGTTTAGAAATGTCAACATGTCCATTTTATCTTCTGCTGGTTTCTCTGCTTCTTTCTTTAAGTCAGCATAGTCGTTTCGCATACGTTCTATCTCTTTGACAGAATAGTTATATTTCCTCATTGCTGCTTTACATTTTGAACATTGTGGGTTCATTTTAGCATTGTACATTGAAATCTTACCTGCAAGTATGACTAAGGCGTCAATGGTTTTCTTTAACTCAAAAGTTACTGGTTTTATCTGTTCGTTCCATACCTTACCTCTTTTATCTTTATCTCTTATCTGCCATACACATTTTGCAACTAACGAAACAAAGTTGTCGTAGGTCTTAAATTCTTCAGATTTGTAAAGGTCAGAAATATTTTTATAAACCATGTCGCAATCTTTGTCCATAACTTTGTGGTTGCAATGAAATCCAAGAAACTCATAGTTAACCTTACGTATGAACTTCTTTATTTCTACTGAGTCAGTTGCTTTGACTTCTATTTCATCGAATTCTGGAATAGTGAGCTTTTGTTGTTGTATTTCAGGAAGTTTAGGTAAATGGTCAATAATGTCCTGCATTTCATAAAGATACTGTTCATTTGTTTCATCTTTCGCACTACAGTCTAAATTATTTGTTAAAAGTTCTTGCTTTATCTTCTGGATTTCTGTTTCGAAAGTATATGAAGAAGGAATGAAGCTTTTCATCTCTACTAACATAGAAGTTGGGTTCATGACTAACGAGTTTGGTGCTGTTGTTGCTAACATGTTCTTACAATAAAAATAAAAAAATATTTTTTTAAAAAAACCAACTTTATTTTTTATTTCGGGAAAACTCATGAGGTGAAAAAACAGGTGAAAAAAGAGGTGAAATCTCACCTCTTCACCTAAACATTATTTTTGGGTCATTTACGCTCATTACGATGAAGTTTCGACAAAACATTTACGATGAAATCATGAAAATTCATGAGGTGAAAAAACAGGTGAAAAAAGAGGTGAAATCTCACCTCTTCACCTAAACATTATTTTTGGTGTAAATTTATGACAAAATTCAAATTGTAAAAAGTCAAGCTTGAAAAATCTAAGTGTTTAGTCTTAGTAAGATGGTAGCTTCTTAAAGCAAATACCATTGCTGAGTTTTATGTACGTGAAGAGAAGTACAATGAATTCAATTACGAGTACAATTGCAATGACAACTAAGGCAACTATTTTTGTCTTTTGCCAGCAAGGGTACTTCTTCTCTTCCAATGGTTCGGCAGAACTATACTCACTCATGAGAAATGCCAAAACGGTTTAATAGAAAAAGTGTCATTTTTTCATGTCCGAAGACTCGAAGGTGCAACACTTCCAAAATACCGACGAACTCAGAAGAGCAGCATGGCAGTATCTTCTTGACAACTTCTTTGAGTTCTCCAGGTACACCTTGGAAAATGCTGAAGAACTCCGACACAGAGAATTTGGAGAAATTGCACTCCAATACTACCTTGACAAACAAAGGGTAAACAAAGGGTAAAATAAGACTAAAAACTTAACGTTTAAAAAGTGACATTTTTATGAGCTCCGAGTCACCGAGAAAACTTGGTCAGATGTTAGCAGCTTACTTCCCTGAGGAGGATGGAAGCGTTACATACGTAAGGTTCAAAAACAACGAACCTGGAATTGCGTACCAAATTCGCAATTACATGACCATGGAAGAGTACGAAAGGTTCCTACAAGAGAAACCAGCTCTAAACAACTCAGAAAAGAAAGAATAAAAAGTTTAACTCGTAATTGTTTATTTTTTTACTTGTATGGGCAAGCTGCAAGAATGAAGTCGACTATCTCAGTCTTTGTCTTGACCAGTTGGACTGCTCTTGCGAGTACGTCTGTTTTGCGGTCTCCAGCTGGTGTCTGACCTTCGTAATTGCGCATGTTCTTGAGAGCTCCAACTGTAAATGGTTGTAGGATGAAGAGTCTCTCAGACTGCTTGAGGTAGTCTTCACGGTCACGAACCGAATCTGTGGTACGAGTCGAATCGGTCGATTTGAGGGAAGAGACTGAAAGCCTGTCTTCTTCCATTGGGGTAGTAGCATACTCTTTGCGTAAGCGGTTCAGACCTTCCTCGAACTCTTGGTCTCTCTTGGATTGAGATTGGAATTGTGGGGCAGGGTTTTGCATAAACATCCAAGGGTTGGGGAAGTAAGGCATAGGCTGAGGAGGAGGGTAGTTCGGGAAGCCTTGTGGTAGGTAGTAACCTTGAGGTGGAAATTGGTAGTAATTTGGTGGAGGGACTTGCTGGAACTGAGGTTGCTGAGGTGCAGGGGCTGGTGCTTTAGGTTCCTCTGGTTTGGGAATGGGCTCGGTTGGTGGTACGTCGGACATCTGTTTGTGGCTTAACCGTCGGAAGGAAAAACCTTTCCTGTCGGAAGGAAAAACCTTTCCTGTTGGAAGAAAAAACCTTTCCTGTCGGAAGGAAAAAATTTTCCTGTCGGAAGGAAAAACTTTTTCTGAAGTTCGACCAAAAGTTCTCAATTTTCGAAAATTTGAATGGTTTACGGACGGACAACTGGAAGAGTCCTTCCTGTCGTCGGGAAAATTTTTTCCAGTTGTCGGGAAAATTTTTTCCAGTTGTCGGGAAAATATTTTCCTGTCGGATGGAAGGACTCGGAATACCAGAAGGATTTGACGAGGCAATTTACCTTATAGAGATAAATGAAGTTGTTAAGCAGTACTTGCGCAGGGTAATGAAGCCCAAGGTCAAGTTCACCACTATTTCTGGAAGGTCTACACTTCAGCTCGAGACTTCGACTGGAATTCCAATTCAAATACCAGACGGGACAGCCTACGACATAAAGGACGCCAAAAGAGAAGCTCTTGTTAAGTTCCTAAACAAACGTCCTTGGATAAAAATACCAAACAAGGAGAACCCCCTACCCCATATGAAATTGGCAATTCAGTCTCTCCTTCACTTCTCGGGTCAGCCGTTCTACATAACCTGTGAAGGCGACATCCAACCAGTTCAGTCAACCTTAACGTTTTGAGTAAAAACATTTTTTTTCATTTTTTGAATGAAGCAAGTTAAATTCGTCCCACACCAATCTCAATGGACCGATGAAGAGTTTCAAGCCATGGTTGAAGGCGTTGAGAACGACATAGACGGCGAACTTGAAGGAGCTCAAACCACAATTGCAACCAAAATTGCACAAGTCAAGGAACAGATAGCTCCACTTAAAGCTACCAAAGCTACTCTTGACCTCATGGATAGTTACCGTTTAGATGTCAAGAGTGGAATAAGACAATTAAAATTAAAACTTCTAAACTACGAAGCTATACTCCAAAAGTTAGCAGAAATGAGAAGACTTTACCAGAGCTACTTACATGTAAGGGACTTACCTTCAAGCAGTCCGACCAAAGATGAATTTGTTGACATTGTCCCAATTTTGTCCGAAAGTCAGCTCAGATGTTTTGAACTGCTCCCAACATATCCAGAATATGAACGTTTGCCTGAACTCTTCCGCAATCTCAAAAAACGTTTTTTGGTTCTCATGTTCGAAACTTTTATCGGAAGAGACAACAAACGTTCAGAAGAAGAACAAGATATTATTTTAAACTTGTTGTATGACTTAACCGTCATAACAAGCTTTTTGAAGTAAAACCGTCATTCTCAAACCACTTCATTTTTTCGATGTCCGAACAAGCACCGAAGCCGAACACAATGGCAGATGTCCTTTCAATGTTGCCAGACAAGCGCCCAGTTCAAATTCAAATTATGCATTTGAAAGCTCATCTGACAAACACCGTTAAGACTCTCCAAAGTAGTCTTATGGAAGAGATGAAGGGACTTAAAGGTGAGTTCCTCATGAACCAAGCTTCCAATGAGAAAGTCCTGAACGATTTAGCGGAAACCTTGCGCAATTACGAGAGAGAAAACCGAGACCTTGCCAGACTCATATACCGTTTCTTCGAAGAGATAGACGCCATCTGGAAGGTACTCGGAAAGGACAGAACCTCCAACACCGTAATTCGTGAGTACCAAATTGAAGAAGGAATTTTCGAGGAAGAAGAGAAACACGAAGAAGAAGAGAAACACGAAGAAGAAGAGAAACACGAAGAAGAAGAGGAAGAAGAAGAGAAACACGAAGAAAAGGAAGTTTGGGCAACCCTTGTTGCCGATGACAGTTATGAAATTTCCCAACCCTACCCATACAAAATCCGCAACAAGGAGACAGGCAAGGTTCTTACCCCAGTCCTCAACAACTTGGGACACTTGAACCTTAACCTTCGGAATCGCGGTTCAATCTCCATGGGCAAGCTTGTCGCAATTCAATGGGTTCCAAATCCAGCAAGAAGACGAAGGTCAGACACATTGACGGTGACAAGCTCAACAACCGTAAGGAGAACCTCGAGTGGTTCTAAGAGTAAAAAAATTTTATTTTAGGGGGAAACCCCGAGTAAATTTAGGTGTTTATTTAGTTAAGTAGCTTAAATTAATGAGAATTTGGACAAGTAGTTCCTGACCCTGAATTGGACTCTTTCGTCATCCCAGTTGCTAGGAGGTCGTCCCAGAGGAGTTGGTAGAATTGCCAATCCAAGGACGATTTGTCCTCCCAGGCATTGAGGATGTACTGCTCGTAGAGTTTCATGACCTCTGCCTTGCACCAGACACCCTCTCCCTTGGAACGTAAGGCTTCTTCGAAGTGCTCGAATGCGATTGGCTGCGTGACCATCTGAAATGACACTTTTTGTCCGTTTGGTCAATGTTTGTGTCTCGTGTCATAGTCGACGAAAATACAAACAAACAGGTTATATATGAGTTTGAGACCAAGAATGGTGTAACTCGACCTGTCCGATTCAAATTCGAATAAAAATTTTTTATTTCATGCAATGTTTTATTTCACCATCTTCTTTAACACCCCAGTACTTCCTTTTCGATATTACATGAACTTCGGTGAAAATTTTGTCCAATTTGAATTGACCCATCTTTTCACCGACCATGCCCATTTCAATGAGTTTGTTATAGCCTTCTTCGTTCGTCATGAGTGCGTCAATGTTCTCATAGTAAACCTTCACTTTGGATTTGACTTCGGAGAAGAATTTGTTGTAGTTGTCAAGGACTGCCTTTGCGAACTGAGGGTAAGACCAATGTTCGACAATAGGTTTTAATGTGGTTACTAAGCCACTTTGACCTTGAGTGAATTCGTACTTCAAAACAAAAGGAGAAAACCTTTCAACAAAGTTGTCGACCTTCTCATAATGTTTACTCTTCATCTCTTGAGGTTTCTTAATGGAATATCCCCATGTCGAATTCATAAGCAATTTGAGTGTCATTGCAAGTTTGGGGTTTGAAGCTTTCCTAATATCATACAGTTGTTGTATGACTTTTCCAACTGTATAGTTCCTTCCTGGGAACTCACCATCTTCGTTTGGAATTCCAGTCGGATATATTGGACAAACCTCATGTATGCAGCGTTAAGGTCGACATAGTATATCTTTTCATCTGAGTCGAACTTGTCGCAACCAATGGTCCAGTTTGTGGAAATTCAAGTGAGTCTCTTATCTTCTGAGAAACTTCTCCTGTTATCTCATAAACATCGTCGAAGCAACCTGTTTCATATAAAACCTTCTGACCTAACTCAGATGCTCTCCAATACAATTTGACGTCAATTGGATGTCTCAATGGAAGTTTGTTTATAGCATCTTGAAGTTCTTGCAACCTCATTGGAAGTTCTTCTGGTTCAGGTTGGTATCCGAACAATCCAACTCCTTTTGGAACTGTGTACTTCTTTTGTACTAGAACTTTGTCTGGAACAACTTTTGGTCTTGCTAACAGTGAAAAGTTTGTTTCGTCTTTTGGTACAAAACTTTCTGTCAGCTTGTCATCTGGAATCGGTTCCAACAAACCTTTCTCGAAAAGAATGTTAACAGCTCTGACAATGTTGCACTTGCCTTTTCCGAACAATGGGTTTGTAAGACTTTCGTTCAACATGAAGTGGTTGTGGACAATTACAATCTTCAACCATGGTAAGTCTTTGTCAACAACATAGTCGTCATGTGAAGAACCTTTCTCAGTCGGAATGTTGACTCGGATATTGACATTTGCCAACGGTGCAATTTTTGCCAATTGACCTCTGAGAATGTACCTTGTCTTCACACATGACTCAAGATACTTCATTTTCTCATCTGTAACAAGACCAGAGTTCCTGAGACATGTAAGAATGCAAGGTTCATTGACAATTGTTTCAATTGAATTGTAAATTCCATACCTTGTCAAGTCAATGTCAGACTTATTTATGAACGGAAAGTATCCAGCATGTTGTCTGACTGCTTGAGGGTTAGGTTGGTACCATTCGAACTTGACACTTGCAATTCCTTCAATCGCATTCAAAATATCTGAGTCGGAGTCAACCATTTGTTCTCTCTTTGTAGTCTTGAAAGCGTCAAGAAGTTGTGCGGCTGTTGTGACATTGCCATGTGCATAGTAAATATGACCATAAATCTGTTACGGTTAGTCTGAGATTGTATCCTTTCTTATTTCCGTCTTGAATTGCAGCAAGTACACCCATGAAGCCTTCTTTGTTCTTTCCTTCGTCAAAGTTTACTGTAAAGGTTCGACCAGATGTAATTTGACTTCTAACTTCACGATACTTCTCATATGCATATCTTGTTCTTTCCATGGGAGCATGTGTCTTCACCTTTTCCTTTTTTCCTTCTCAAAGGATGCAATTGTTCGTCATGTTTCCAGTAGAATCTGGCAAAGCCGTCGTGTCCTTCAACTTGAGGCTCAGAAACATCGAAAGGCATGTCCATAAGACGTTCTTCTTCTAACCTCTCTAGTCTGTTTGGATAATTGCGCGCGGTGTTTCTAAGTCCATTTCGTAGCGAAGACCAGACAGTTTGTCATAGACTTTTATGGGTCTTCCCTTCCTATATTTAAACTTCTTCGAAACTTTCCAACCATATCTTTCTAACTCTGCTTTTATTCTAGCAGACTTTCTATCCATTCTATATGGGGGCATTTTTATAAAAATAAAAAAATATTTTTTTCTTTACTTTACATAACCACCTGCTGCCATAAGTCTTTGACGCCAACCCATACCAGCTAATGAAGGTTGACTTGGTTTAGTTTGAAACTAACTTTGGTTTTGGTTTATCTTCAGTTTTTGGCTTCTTCTTCTATGGTTTTTCGTCACTTTTCGGTTCCTCTGACTTTACCTCACTTGCTTGAACAGTTGTGTCGTCAACATCTTCATAAATATCATATGCCATTTGTTTTTGTTTTCCTTTCAACTTTTTGTGTTTGTTGTAAAGTTTAGAATATTTCGACTCTAAGTCAATGAGATGTTCTATAATGAACTGTTGGTCAGTGAAGTAAACTTTTCCATCTGTTGTCTCGAAAGCTCCTTCAGACTTCAATATTTTATTTGTGAGAGTCTGTTTCTTTTTTGAGATACTAGCCGTTCCATTTCTATGAAAAGTGACTTTATAGTTAGGGTTTGTATTTCCAGACCTGGCACTTTCTATTATTGAATTTTTCTCTTCATCTGTAAGTTCTTTGACAGGTTTTGACAATGGTTCTGAACTTTTTGTTTGTGGTGTCAAATCTACCGTTTCAACTTCTTCGGTCATTTCATCTCAGTAAAAAATTTTAGTTTGGTTTGTTTTCAACTGGTTGTTGTTTTTTAAGTCGGTCTAAAACTTCCTGAGGTATAGGAAGAACTTGACAAACACGTGGTTGTGTAACTGCTGGAAGTCGACAAATCCATCTTGAACCCATTTGTCTCAATGCTGTATTGTTCATTTCATCTCAGTAAAAAATTTACATTCCCCAGTTTGAGGCGGTTGCGGTTGGTTATTGTTTACCCACTGTTGTGCATGGTTATATCCTCTGTTAAAGAATCTTTCACCTTGGTCCATATAGTGTCCTGCTTGGTTATAGTAGTCATTTGCTTTGTTATATAGTAGTTTCCTGCTTGTCTTCCTACATTGTCCATCCATCCTTGAACTTTTCCTCTTGTTTCAGGATTTGGAATAAGATTTGCTGCATCTCGTGCTACTCCCAACCTTTCTGTACAGTTTGTATAATAGGTTGTGCTTTCTCTTTCAGTATACCTAATGTACTCAAAATCTTCCTTCCAATTCCAAACACCTCTGGCTATTGTTCCCACTGCGGGCAAAAATCTGGATGCAACTCCTGCTAATGCGCCAAATAAACCCATTTCTTATGGTTAAAAAATGACGAATCCAAACAAGGACCCCTATGTTTCTAAGCGACAAAGAAAGCACTCATGATAAAAATCTTTAGTTCAACACCAAATGCTTGGTTTATGGATATCTTGGAAAACATTCCGAGGTATAGAGAAGATGGACCACCATACTGGCTAATATTTGTCGGTCAAAACACAAGATACTGTGAAGCCATACCATTACAGTCCAAAAATATTTTAGATGTGAAAACTTTGACAATATTCGTTGACAAATACCATCCAACAAAACTGACATCTGACTGTGAAAGTTCTTTCAAATCAGACGATATTAAAAACTATCTGCGTTCAAAAAATGTAAACCAATATTTCATTGTCGACCAAAACCATTCTGCTCTTGGTGTCATTGACAGTTGTATAAAAATCTTAAGAGACTTAAACCAACCACAAGG